TGTGTGTGTATAAAATGTCTGGCTGAGAGTTTCTGTATTTATTCCCATCTGCTGCAAAGGAAACTTCTGTGATGATGACTAAGCAAGACACTGATTTAATGAGTATAGCAGAATGCCATTAGGAGTTATTTTATTGTTACTTTTTTTGACTAGTAGTATTTGCTTTTATCCTAGGTCTCTGGGATATCTAATCTCTGGTACTTGGTCATTCAAAGCAGTGTCAGTATGGGTTCCATCTTGTGGAGGGGGTATTAACTCAAATCAGATATTAGTTGATTACTTCCATGAGATTTGCACCACCCATTGTCCTAGCATATTTTGCAGGCAGGACAGATTGTAGATCAAAGGTTTTGTGGTTGGGTTGGAGTTTGTGTTTCTCTTTTAGTAGCCTGCAGAGTACCTTTCCTAGTCAAATACACTAGAACATGGAAGTGAGGGTCCTATGTGGTCAACAGCTGGACCTCTCTATGTTCAGTGAGTTTTGGGAGTGCTGTCTTCATCAATGGGGCCTTGCTGTTTATGGAGAGCACTCTATTGTCTTTGCAACAGCCTGGCTTGTTTAGGGATTTCCTTAGGACCACTTTTACCAAGAACTCAATTGGATGTAACTGTCCCAGTACTAGAAGCTTTGTTAAATGACAAGAGATGGCCAGTTGGGTTCCATCTTCCTCATTATTTGGAGACTTCACTTTGATGGCCCTCATGTAGTATAGGAAGTCTCTACTTCACTGGGTTTCCATACTGCCCCTCAAATGCCCTTCAATTCTAGATGTATGTCCTCTCATTCCCTCCTTCAATGACCCCTTCTTTCCCCCTTCCCAACTGATCCTCCCTTTCTTTCCACTACCATTACACTACACCCATAAAAGCTATTTCCCTTTCACCAGGGACATCCATCTGACACACACATACACTGCCCCTTCCTCTATTTCAGTTCAGTTCAGTTCAGTTCAGTGTTCAGCTGTGGGTGTCTGAGTCTACTTCCACCAGCTCCTGGATGAAGGCTATAGGATGGCATATAAGTTACTCATCAATCTCATTATCAGGAGAGGGCATTTAAGGTAGCCTCTCCTCTGTTGCTTAGATTGTTAGTTGGTGTCATCTTGGTAGATCTGTGGACATTTCCCTAGTGCCTGATTTCTCTTTAAACCTATAATGTCTCCCTCTATTTGGTATCTCTTATCTTGCTCTCCTCTATTCTTCCCCTACACAACCTTCCTGCTCCCTCATGTCTTCCTCACCCCTCCTCTTCTCCCCTTCTCATTCTCCTAGATCCCTCCACACAACCATCTTTTCAGTCCACAAACTTCTAAGATTTTTAGATTTTATGATTAATTTATGTGTTTGCACCAATGGAGGCCAGAAAGGGTATCATATCCCCTGGAGCTGGAGTTCCAGGTGCTTTACAATGTCACGATGAGAACTGAACTCAGTTCATGTCCTCTGCAAAAGCAGCAAGTGCTCTTATTTTCAAGCCCCAGTTTGGCTGTTTTAATTGGCTTCTCAAGGGCATGAGAGTTAACTTTGTTTCCAATGTATGCATTGTGATCTTGCTTGGTACTGTTCCAATCTTTTCTGCCTCGTGCTTGAATTGTAGACATGTGCCCCTATGCCTGGCTCCTAAGATCTCTTTAACTAGTTTCACGCACCGGTGTATGGCCATGGTGAATCCACAGATATGTCACTATCCCTTCTATTAGCCATTTGCAGACTGTTAGAGACCAAATTCTGAAGGCTAAGTAAGGATTAAATATTTTTCTCCAATCACCTTACCCCCCCCAACCTAAAGTACTAAATGTACTCTTTCAGATATCACAGGAATCAGATCCACCTTGAAAGGAGTTTCAGTATTAGGATCAATGCCTCAGAAGAGGATAATAAGAACCTACCTGAGATTTAAGAGTATTATAGTGTTTGTAAAGAATTTACCGAAGACCTCCAAATTAGCAATCATGCCTGGGTCTCCATCATGTCAAATCTTTCATTCTGGAAAAAACATCTTCCTTGCCCCCTCTCAAGAGGAAGCAGCTTGAAGAGATAAAATATAACAGCTGACCATCCACATTGCTCCCAGACTTTGGTCTGCTACCTTTCTTATATAGCCCAGGCCACATGCTCAGGTTTTGCATTGCCCACAACTGCCTGTATCTCGTACATCACTTAGTAATTACAAAAATATCCCCAAATATGTCCAGAAGCCAATATTATGGAAAAAGTTCTTCACCCGAGGTTCCCTCAATTGGTATGTCATGCTGACAACAAAGAGTAGCCATCACTTTGTTTTAACCCTTGATTCCTAGACCTGTGAATCCTGATTATAGAAAACAGCGTGCCACATATTATACATCAATTCAAAGAATATGCAGCCTTCTGGAGAATCTTTTCCTAGTCCCCCAGACTATTAGCACCTTAGCACCTAATTATTGCTGTAACTGTATCTTTAAAAGGCCATTCCACTGTGCTATTAAGCCAGCTGTTTCAGGGTGCTAGAGAACATGGTATGACCAGTGGATTCCATGAACATAGGCTCACTGTGCACTTCTCTGGCTGTGAAGTGAGTTTCTTGGTTAGAAACAATGCTGTGTGAAATACCATGACATTCTGTAAGTCTGTGAATGGGAGTTTTGGCTGACACATTATGTGCATTGAAGGCAAAACCACGGACAGAATAAGTATCTATTCCAACAAGAACAAATGCTGCTTTTTTACTACCAAGTTGCTGGATGATAATCACAGAGAATGACACCTAGTGACCCACTTCCTTTTCCCATGACCTTATACATTACTGGCTGAGAAGCTTTGGTTCCAAAGGAGAGCATGCTTTTGCTAGGAGACCCAACAGACATTCCTGTGATGATGTGAATTAATGGCCCCTATTTGAGAAGGGCCCCTATATGCTCATATATTTGAATATTTGGTTCCTGGCTGGGAGAACTGTTTGGAAAGCATTAGAAGGTGTGGCCTTGTTGGAGGAAGCATGTCACTCACTGAGGGTAGGCTTTGAAGTTTCCAAAGCCCATACCATTCCCAGTTACTTCTCTGCCTCGTGCTTATAGATTAAGGTGTAAGCTCTGAGATTCTGCACTAACTCCATGCCTGACTGGCAGCGCTCCCCAACATCATGGTCATGGGCTCAACCTCTGAAACTGTAAGCCCAAACTAAATGCTCTCTTTTTTCCCCAAGCCAAACCGTATCCAGCTTTATTAAAGATACTTTCCATAAACAGTCATGGTATTTCAGGCACGACATGGGCAGACAATCAGTAACAGTTTACAAGAACTTCCAAACTCCCTTCTTGTATGAACTACCAAAATCAGAAAGCCACTATAAAACCCAGTGAAGTCTTCATTCAATGCTTTGAAAAGGGGAAGAGCTTAGAGTGAGAGTTGACATTTCACATTACGGATGTTGTTTAACAACTTTTCACAAGCCAACCCTGACTTTCAGGAAACGAAATGAAAATGGCAGAATTATCAATCTGAAGATCCACAATCTTGTATATAAAAGGAACCGCTGCTCTTTTGAGGATATTATTTTCACTGCAAAGTCCAGATTGCCCAATAGACCAGCAAAACCAATTTTAGGGGATCAGGTTCCAACAGGTCTCTGGTTTTAAGGGAGTTAAGTCTATGTTGATGGTACAGGGGGAAGAGGATATAAAAATGAATTTAGAGTTTTCCCACACAAGGCATTCTGTGCCATGGTGGCCACATATGTCAACACCAGGACATCTCTCCTGAGCCAAGAGGAGACTTTCTAAATTGTCAAGGAAAGATGTTTTCCATCAACCATCAATCAATCCAGCTTAGGAGACATTTTGTTAGTGACACTTGTTCTTTCCCCACCCCAAAACAATGAAGTGTTCTGTGTGCTTATATAGCTTATAAAAAAATAAAACAAAATTCTGCATTTTTATCAAAATTGATAAAAATAGTATTTAAACTGTACAGTCATCGGAAGCACACAGTTATCAGAAATGCACACATTTCACTTGGCATCTCCAGCACCTTCAGCTTTCTGTGTCTGGTCTGTTTTGGGGTCTCCATTTTCTGCAGGGTTATTTGCATCCTTGCCAGCATCTGCTTTCCCCTTCTTCCCCTTGGGTATCTTCTCTCCCTTCTTTGCAGGGGCCTTTTCAGGCTTGGGCTCTGGCTTTGGAGGAGCAGATTTAGCAGACAACCTTGCAGATTTTCTCTGTGGTTCGTCCTTCACCTTAGCTTTATCTCCTTTAGTATTCCCTTCAGCCTTTCTTTTGGGCATGGCGGCGGTGGGGGACGTGGGAGCTGAACTTGGGGATGCAGCAGTGCGGGGGCTTGGTCTGTCCAGGGGTCGTTCACACTGCTTCTTCCAATGCTCTCTTTTATAAGTGATTTTTCTTTTATAAGTTGACACATTTGGTCTTGGTGTCTTATCACAGAAATAGAAAAGTAACTAAGATAATTCCATAGAAATGGAAGCTAAGAGTTTTCCAGGCCACTTTAGGTTTCTGAGACCCTTAAGAAGCTGAGAAAGAAATAGGAATATTAGGAAGGGTGAATGACCCAGACTACCAGGGTAAATTGAACTGCATATCCACAATGGAGGCAGGGAAATTTATGTCTGAATACAGGAAAGCCTTTGGGGCATATGTTTATTTTATCATATTTAAGTTACGAGGCACTAAATGATTAATCATTCCTCAAATGACTGTCAACTACTCTACAAAAATATAATACATTTATATATAAATGAATATATGCATGCAATAAAAATTACTGACAGAGACCATGAATTTGAAGGAGAGGAAGGGTGTCTATAGGTGGTTTTGGAAGGAGGAAACAGAAGGGAGAAACATTTTAATTAAACTACCATCTCAAAAATAATAAAATAGCTATATGTGTACATTTACAATGAATTTGCAGCTATACACATGACATTTACATCATGCTAGGTGGAATTATGACTAGAATACAGTTTTTATTTGTAAATAAAGCATAAGGAGATATGATTGGGTGTCAGGCTCACACGAAGTGGAGTAGAATGGCTAATCTTCATTGTCCACTGAATGTGGAATAAACTAATATAATCTGCTGGATACTCTTGTGTGGCTCTTTCTTGATCATGTTATTTCAAGTGGGAAGACCTACCGTAAATATGGGTGGCACTTCTTGGTGGCAGCCCAGATAAAAGGAAATGGAAGAACAAAACTTTGCTTTTTGCCTGCTTGCCTTTATTCCCTCTAGCAAGTTCATCAACCCTATTGATAATCTATTCCTTCATTGATATTAGGACCCACTTTTGCAGGCTTCCAATGTAGACCAAAGCTCAGTATCTTCTGGGTATTCACCAGGCCTTCAGCATCAGATTAGCACTACTGAGACATTCAGACTCATGGAATGAGCAACTACTGGATGCCAGTCTAAATAAGTCAATCTAATAAATCCCCTCTTTTAAACAGAGTATTTCTTTTATGCATATGAGTGTTGTGCCTGCATGTATGTATGTGTACAACATTCATGAAATGCATATGGAGGCCAGAAGGGAGTTTGAATCTCCAGGAAATGGAGTTAGAAAAGATTGTGAGCCACCATGTGGGTGCTGGGAACTAAACCTAGATCCTCTGCAAAAAGAGCAATTGCTCTTAACTTCTGAGCAATCTCATCAACCCTATACATTCCTTCTTAATGTATCTATTCATTCTATAAGTTCTGTTCCTTTAGAGGACCCCAACTAATAAAAAATGTCTATGGAGGCAATACAAAATTCTCTAACTAAATAGTATTTTTTATTTTACAACTCCGTTGCTTTATGAAATCAAAAATCTCTTAATGTTGTACGCATTTTAATGGTTTAACATTTTAATGGTTTGTGCAATATATTTAATAGACTGAATAATGGTGTGTTAGTAGGTTTCCAGAAGTTAAAAGTACCTAAGTTTATGAGGCAGTATAGATTTATCAGATCTTTGAACACATAGTTAAATCCAAATAATATTTATAACGAACTAATGTCATCTGCCTCTATTTGAAATCTGTGTGTCAAGTCATCTGGTTCTCTCCCTTGTAAACCTGCAGCAAGTTTTATTTTTTCCCCTTCATAGCACTATCTTCTAGAATTAATGTTGGACAGAGCTAAATCCACACCATTCCACCAGGAAGATAAACATTCACATTTAAATTTATGGATTTTAGTTATGCCTGACCTGACAGATTAAACTCTGCAAAACCAGTTTGTCCTTCAGCCCCAAATTCCATCGTTAACTCTTAAATGCCTGGATTTCAGCCAGGCCTGAGATAAGGACCTAGAATCATTTCTTTTTGGAACAGGAAAAAGGTGAAAGAAAACAGTTTTAAAGAGCTCAGAGTAATAGATACTATGTATTAATATAGTCCCACATCAGCCCCTCCACCAAAGATACAAACTTACATACACGTGTTTTAAATTAGAGCTGCCAGGAGAAGTTTGTAATTTTAGTTTAAAAAGAACTCAGTTTAAAAGATCATCCAAACTGGCCAGAAAAAAGGACAAAGCCTGGGAGCCCCAGTCAAGGAGGGGTTCTGAGAAGACACTCTGCTTCACTGAATATAGGTAGAAAGCAGCTAGTGCTGGATGGTGAAGAAAGATTAGGGGGAAAAAGGCTCTCAATCTGGGATCTGCTTGCTGAGAGTGTCTGACATCCCAAAAGATGTCTTTCTGCTGAATTATCATGCCAAAGTTGTTACTAGAGGAATTGGGGGTCAAAGTCCGGGTTCTAGCAGCTCCATGAAGAGAGGCTCATCCACTCATCTACAACATAGCAATTAAAGTAACACATAGTAGTGAAGACCAGAAAAGAGAATTGTCCATTGTGGCCATATTAGAATAGGAAAAAATAAAGGGGTCCAGTGGTACCCCAAGTTCATCTTTGAGGTTCTATCTTGAGGCTTAGGCTTAATAAATACAGCACAAGAGTTTTATGTAATTAAGGAGTCCTTGGCTCAGGTATATCCTAAGAAGTGGTTCAATAAGTTTTGGGGACTGTGTGGAATCTTTCTAGCAGGAAAGTTCTTCCTCTAGCTGGTAGCAGTACTTCAGCCTTCTTTCCCCAAGCATGAGATTGCTGGGGCAAGTTTATTTTTTAGGAAATATTGTTTCAATAACCTGATATCAAAAGTGAAGAGCACAAGTGTTTCTCTTTAGGATACTTTTCTTCTGCCAAGAGGGTTACAAGAGGGACCTCCAGGTTCCCATCATAGCTGTGTGTGTGTGTGTGTGTGTGTGTGTGTGTGTGTGTGTTTTAAAACAGGCTATCAGAAAAGAGAGTTTCTTTTCCCTCTGTGATGGTTAGCTCTACTTGCCAACTTGCAATCTGAAATCACCTGGGAAGAGAATTTCACTGAACCATTTTCTATATTGGATAAGCCTGTGAGCATGCCTGTGGAGGATTATCTTCATTAAGGTGATTGATGTGCTGTGGGCAGCACCATTCCTTAGGGAGGGAGTCCTGAACTGAGTAGAGAAGCCATGCTGAGCACAGGCAAGCAAGTGAGCATGTATGTGTTACTATCTCTCCACTCTGGGATGTGGATGTGATTTGACTAACTTTTGAAGTTCTTCCATTTAACTTTCTCACCTTAGTGGATTGTCAGATGGAATTATAAACCAAAACAAACCCTTTTGTTTTCTAGGATGCTTTTTGTCAGGATATTTTATCACACCAAAGGAAGTTAAATAAGAATACACTCTAAAAAAATTCTACAGATACCAACATTATTGAACAGTTAAGATATGCTAGCAGTTTAAAAAAATACATCTTTGCCAGAGGGGATAGCTCAGAAGTACAGTACCACACTACCATGTGAGACCCTGGTTTCAATCCCTAGCATCTCTCAAAGACAAAACAAAACAAATGAAAAAAATCACTTGTTTTACATAAACACAATCTCAGTGTGAACTGAATTTTCACGAGAAAGCTACATCCATATAGAAGATTCTACAGACTTACTGGCTAGTTGGAGCTCTATGCTTATTGAGAGCTGGCCAGTTGCATATCTAGAATTAAAATCATATTCATCTATCTTAATCCTATCTATCATTAATGTTTGTATCTTGTCCTAACATATTTTGACTGTGATGTAAAACTTTAGAAAAGTATTAGCTTAACAGGCCACTACCTTCCCCAAACCCAAAGCTAAGACTGAGACTAAAGATAGCATCTGAAGACTCAAGAGACCTCTAACTTCCCTGACACTCCCAGAAAGGTGTGATGACACAGTAATTTATAACTTACTTTTATCCACATAAAATATTTCTCAGTTTAACAAGTCACTCAGGACCACCTGAGTCCATTTTTTCCTAGGACAATACTTACTCAGAATAAACTATATTTTATTCTATTTGGAGCAAGAGCTGTGTTTTGTGTTGATAGTTTTGGTGATCAAAAATGGGACCCCATGTAGTATCTGATGCCACCAGAGAAGTTATCTGTATCAGTGAAAAGTACCCTTTACTCCTTCTATCTCTTGGCTTGTGATGGATCCATACTGTGGCCAGGACATTGTTTTGGCTTGGTTCATAGCCCATTGGCTTATTGTGGTCTGCTCTTTATATTGGAGCATTTATTAGAACTTTGGTTTGCCTGTACTTGGCATTTTTCTCCTGCCACTCCTCCAATATATAATTTGCTATGTTTGTTTTTCTGTCTCTTTCTGCTGTTATTTGAAAACTTGCCCCATCTCAGTATAGAAATTCTGTCAGCCCCTTTTCACAAGGACATCAATGATAAAAGAAGTTTGTTACCTTCAACCCAAAGTGGAGGTATAGATCAGTCTCCAGGATGTATAGCCCATTACTGTGGTACACAAAACCTCAATTTCTCATCCAGAAAGACACACGAATGGTGATAACCCAATGTTATTATCCACTTCATATTCCTATAAGATACAAAGGGGAGAACTGACAGAAAGTGGGAGAAACCAACTTTACAGTGAGACCCAAGGGAGACACTTCTATAAACAATATATAAATTTGATTCAAAAAACAGAACTCATCAACCAGCATAGGAGATTGCAACTTTTGGAAGACCATGGAACTACTCTAAACATTGGGAAACAAAAATTCAAGAAAAGAGGACATGGTTAGAGAAAATTGTCATACTAGGAGGTTTAATGTGGTAATTATGGTAATGGGACCTACAGCTTATTTAGAAATTTAAAGTGTGAATTTTAAATTTTAAAATGGCATACCTTCTTATAATTGCCTTTAAGACAACCTCATCAAATTTCAATTAGGAGAAACTGTGGGCTA